GTCCGAGGCTTAACCTGCTACGGGTGTGGTGTCTCCTTTGGACTAGGTGGCCTCTCCTCACACCTTTTTTCAGCAAGGCACCAACAAGTATGTTTGGATCGTGCCTGTGCCTGCGGACGAAACTGAGGGGGCTCCCGGTTTTCCCGGCCCTTGGCTTGAGTCCGGAGAGCCAAAAGGTGATCGCACGCCTTTTAGAGTAAGCTACACCTTCTTCCAGTATGGTTAAGCCAAATGGAGGCTGCTTGGGATCCCTAGCAGTGACTTAGGGCTGGGCCTACCAGTGGCTTGCTTGGGCTCCCGAGTGCTGCGCGCTCTGTTTTTCACAATAGGAGCCCCACGCATTCCAGCGAAGCAGACGAACACTGCACGAATAGTGCATGGAGTTTTATTTGACAAAACAAATTTGCTTTTAACAAATTTGAGGACGCAGAGATTGCATCATGTTGTTTTCTCACGTGGAATCAAGAGTCATGTCCGAAACATTGGCTCAGCTGTGGGTGTGGTGGGTGGGAGCCTCTTTTGCAATGGTTCCTTGAAAGTTTTCGCGGCGGGGGGTGTCTCCTGCAGTACAGCGAATATCATGAACGAAGGTGAGTGAGTCGCCTTCCTCTCCCTGAAAGCTTGGACGAAAGATGTACGAGTCAGCCTTCTGAGCAGGGCCCTCAGGAGACTGTTCTTGCAGAATCAGAGAGAGCTCGCTTGCATGCTGCTATTGGAGAAGCGGCCATGGTTAGTGGCGAGCATGGCTCTGGACTTAAGCTGCCATGGGAGAGTGGAGGTTTCGCTTTGATCTTTGGTGCACAGAAGACCGTAGATTTTGAAGTTCCTGAAGTTCCCTTTCCAGTGGTGGCGCCTGGGGCGTCTCAGGATACTGCAGAGAAATTAACTCATCCAGCAAAGAGGCAGAAGCTTGAGCCATGTGGTGCTGAAAACTTCAGGCGTGTCATCAACTTCAAGCGAGCTTTTGATGATGAAACTTTGGACCAGAACAAGTGGGCGCGTGCGCTCGAAAAGTGGTACACAATTCTTGGCGAGAACTGGGCTAGCTCCTTGATTGGTTTCAAGATTTCGAAACTGCCTGCTGAGGAAGGCGTCAAGCGGCTTCAAGCGCATCAGAGAACTTTTTGGCAAGAAAAGTGTGGCCCCAGTGGATCGTCGAGCCAACAGCCTTCTTGGGTATATAAGCTGGGGTCACAAGGCGCATCCTGGAGTAGACATTTTCCCTCTCTGCACATGGATGCTTGATGAGCATTTGGAGTGGTTGCAGCACAACAAGACCAAGGTTTCAGCTATGCACAGTTTTCGAGAGTCCATTAACTTTTACCATTTTGTGGTAGGAGTGGAAGTGTCTGCAACTTGCAAACCCTTGTGGAGTCCATGGGCAAAGGGCTTGCTTGGCATGCGTGACTTGGAGAGATCAGAGCGGAAACAGTCTGCTGTTCTTACAGTCGGACAGGTGGCCTTTTTAGAGCTCTTGCTCGATGACGATTCTGTTGAGCTCATGGATCGGTACGCTGCTGGGGTGATGCTTTTTGCTGTTTATTCCCGCAGTAGGTGTTCAGATGTGAAAGTGGTCGAAGGCTTTATTCTTGACACTGCGAATGTTGGTGGCAACCAGATTGGTTTCATTGAGTGCAAAACTCGTTCGCACAAGAGCAGCCGACAGGTTGCACAACAAGGTCTGGCGATGCCGCTGATTGCACCTATCATGGGAGTTAGGAATGTGAGCTGGGGCCTGAAGTTCATCGAGGTTGCCAAGGCAGTGGGCCTAGGTCTGGAAGGACGAGCAAAAGGACCGCTGTTGCCTGCGCCTACAGAGGCGGGGGAGTGGAGCAAGCGGGCAGTGACATCTGGAGAGATGTCGCGATGGCTGCAGGTTCTTCTCAAGGACGAGGGGAACTCTGCAGAAGTTTCTTCACACTCGCTTAAATCCACTAGTCTGTCTTGGTGCAGCAAATTTGGGATGAGCAGGCTTCCACGTCTTCAATTAGGTCATCATTCCACTGGAGACGGCACCTTGAACAGTTACGGTAGAGACTTCTTGGCCCCGGCACTTCGTGAGTACATCACGGTAATCGAAGCAGTGCGAAAGGGCATATTTATGCCCGATGTTAGCCGCTCGGGTCACTTTGACCCCGTCGCGGCCTTCGACAACAGATGCAGGCGATCCTATCATGAGTTTCAGGCGGGCGTTTGGTGCTCGAGATGACCAGGGCAGTGCAGAGCGAGCTAACACTCCCCTGAGTGTTCCTGACGGCTTTGCTGAGGTTTCTGATGACATCAATGGTTCGTTTTCCGAGGTCAATTTGTCTGCTCTTGAGGGAGATGAAGATATCGAGCCAGCTGCCGAGGCCCATGCCGGAGGGGAAGCCCCGTCCGAACGGGGCGATCATGCCAGCCGTGGTGCTGAGAGCGAGTCTAGTTCGTCGTCTTCGAGTTCGGATGAAACGGAATCTGAGTTCGGGGATGATGGTTGGACTAGGGGTGAGGGTTTCAAGTGTCCCGCTGCGCGTGAAACTGAGGCTTGGACCCCAGAAGTGTCTATGTACAGACACAAGAAGAGTCTTACCGTTCACCATTTGACTGCAGGGAGCACATCCGAGATTTTCGTTTGCGGCCGAAAGGTCAGTCAAGATTATGAGCTGATTGAAGCATCGGCTTTTCGAGATTTGCGAACATGCAAGCAATGTGCAGCTGGTAAACCACTGAGGGACACCGGCAGCTTAATTCGTGCGCTGGAGGCGCGCGTCAAGAACTGATTGACCGTTGTGTGCACTGCAGAGACTTGAGATGTCAATGAGAGCGTTGGCATCATGCTGTGCGCTGAGTGTCAGGTTGCGGTTAGTGGTGTGTCTGCGCGTTCGCAGCCGGACTGGAGTAGGTGACAGCTGTTTGAAAATCATGGAGGTACGTGCACATGGCGCTGTCCATAACTTAGTGAGACAGGTTGCTTGAAAATCATGCATTTTGAACCAGGCGCGCGCGCGCGCTGGTTCGTTTGAGTGAGTGTGGCGCTGTCCATAATTCAAGGTCTCAAGCTTGAACAGATCATGAAAGTCAAGTTTTGCCAAGT